TATATATATATCTGTGTGTATATATATATATATCTGTTGAAATTAAGATTTAGCATCAAAATAAAAATATGGCATTCTTGTTACCTTGTCATTAAAATGCAGTATCCATATTACACACTAATTTTGATTTCTTCTTTGTTTTTTTTAGTCTTTTTAGTTTTTTTTTTGTTGTTGTTGTTTTATTCTTTATTTGGACAAAGACTTTCTGATTTTAAGACATTAGCACAATGCGTGTCCAACATATTTCACATTCATGATCCTTGAAAATAGCTTCAGCTTGTTTTTCCTTTAGCGTTAAGGCTAGCTTTACACAAACTAGTAGTAGTTTGTAGCTAGTTTGTGTAATAGTTTATGCTTGGCATAGCCATGTACCCCGTCCCATAGCCTAATGTGCACCTCCAGAGAAATGCAACTGCGTGTAGTGAGACAAAGCGCAACAACTTTGTCGTCCGTGTCTCTCAGTGGACGGGCAGTTCATCCTCCTCCTGCCACAGTTGCTTTGATGGTCTTATACAGTCCATCTCCTCTGATGTCTTTTCTCCTTTCTGCATCTCAGTCAGTTCAGTAAAAGTAAATGGTGTATAATCAACATCCATCATCTCCAACATTATCCGCTCAGTTTCAGTCCCCACTGTTTGTATGATGCCAAAAAATTCAACACAGTGGAGCCACTTGCACAGGCTCTGTGTAGATTCAGCACAGTCTTTAGAGGTGCTGGGATTCAAAGCCTTCTCCTCACTCCATCTCCCTACCTCCCTCATCTCTCTCCAACACCTCTGTTGTTTGTGTGTCTTTGTAGTCTCAACACTGTGAATCACACAGATTAGAAGACTGGCACACACTTTTTGGACAGACTCTCCTTGAGAGCGTTCATGGTGTTGCACTGTACTGTTCACGTGAAAAGTGACACAGGTAGTTTGATTTGAACCCTGCCTACTTTCATTCTTCTGCACACCACAAGTAAAGTGGAAATGATTGTTGTGGGGATGAATCACCAACCCTGTGGTTTGTGAAGGAGACTGGAGGCTTAGTCTAAAATTATGGCTATTGATCGCTCTGACTTCAGGCTCGGATTTCTTTTTAGATTTTGGGTATTAATTTCTTACTCATGATAAAAATATGATGCTGAGTTTTCAGCTGAGTCAGTTCTTTAATATGTTTTCTTCTTACAGGATGGGAACCAGGCCAGAACCACATGCATCCTCCAGGACGTCACTCCAGGCACCTACACTATAGAGGTACATGAACTAGGCACAGGGCTCACATGCTGTGATCACTAGACTTATGGTTGCAGCACTGTCCAGTTGTCAGTTATTCCTTATTGCTACAATTGCAAGCTGCACTGCAAACACCCATGTGCTTTTGTGCTTTAAGGGAATGACTATTGGGGGGTAAACCTTCCACAAGCTCCCCAACCCCAACACAGCTGGGGACCTTACAGTACAGAGTAATACAACAACAAAATAGCAACCTGAAAGCTTTAAAACCAGTTTGCCTAACCAGGGGTTAAGACCCTCCCACAGGGTCTGAGCTCTTTCAGTGACTCATCTTGTGTTACTATATGCTTACTGTTTATATAAAATACTTTATTTATCAATGTATTTATCGATTTATCAATTCCATATTTGTTCATATGTTTCATTGATAATATTTCTGTTTTGTGTTCTCTCTCTCTTTTATTACCCTCCTGATTCTCTGTGTCAGCTGAGAGACGACAGTAACATGACCAGGAGGCAGACTCAGTACCACGCTAGCCAGGGTGAGAAACACACACACACACACACACCGCTGTTTCCATTCCTTGTGGGGACTTTACATTGACTTACATTCATTTCCTGGAGACTTACCCTAACCTTATCCATAACCACTACTTGCCTAACACCTAACCCGGACCCTAACACTTAACCTCACTCTAACCTTAAACCATGTTGCCACCCTAAAATTCATGATGGACAGGTGGATACACTCTGTATATGATGTTTTACTGGGGCATGGTGGGGTGTATTCAGAAGGAATAACACTAACACATTCTTGCTCATACAAATGAAAAGCTGAACAAAACACAGCACATACTGCTGCTACAGACTCAACTGCTCTGATATGACAAGTAGCTAATGTTAGCTAATAACAGATTGTAGATAGAATTGCTAAGTTAGTTCAATGACGTGATGGCTCTTCTCTACTTGTGCTACTGTATACTGTTTTAGCATTTGACATTATCCAGTAATTGCTACATACTGTAGTTGTTACAGACTTAAATAGTTGCATAGTGTTGATTTACATGACTTTGAATTATCTAATTTTGTGGTCTCATGCTTGGTGTGTTTGGTTTGTCCTTCAGTCCACTCCCCCTGGGCGGGGCCTATTCGTGCCATGGCCATCACAGTGCCTTTGGTCATCATGTCTGCCTTCGCCACTCTCTTCACAGTTATGTGTCGCAATAAACAGCAAGGTGAGAGCACTAATTATTGGTGATGTTACTTGTTCTCACAGGGGTTTCAGTCTTAGAAACAACAAGTACTGGAATAAGTTCAAGGAGACCTCTTCTGTCTCTTCATCGGATCCCAGACTGGCTCCATGGTGATGAGATCAGGGCTCTGTGTGGGCCAGACCATCTGTTGCAGGATTCCTGGTTCTTCTTATCTCTGAACATAATTTTTATGATATTGGTTGAATGTTTGGGCTCATTGTCAGGCTGCAGGGTAAACTAGAGAAATGCATTTCCTATCGTAAATGCATGTGGATGCTCATATGCTGAAAGAACATCCTGAAAATGTCTGAAATCAATTGCTGAAACAGCTGAAGGATGAGAAGAAACTGCTGAAGTTCTTTGTTGAAAGGGGGGGGGGGGGGGGCTGCATTTTATGGACCACCAGATGGCACTCCAGGACTGCCATTGACTCAGCACTTTGAGCTCCCATTGACTTGTATTGTAAACAAAAAAGCTGAATAAATTAAAAAGTATAAACATTATAAAAAAGTTGAATACAAGCACGAATGTCCTTGAAGAGCTGAACAGGAAGATACCTGAATGGCTGGTATAGCTGAAAGTATGCTGGACTTATAAAGTGCCAAAAAACAGACAGAAGCTCACAGAATAATCACACAACTAGGGACTGATCAGATGCCTCCCTGATATTATTAGGTAATGGGTAAGCATCTAAACGTTTGCACACTACTGTAGATGTGAGCTCAGACTTTTTTGAGAACTGTCACTGCGTATAAGGATGCCCTAGAATTTCAGACACAATATTCTGATATATTTACCAATCATTCCTCATGTGTCTCCTTTCCTGTTAGAAAACATCTATAGCCAACTGGACGAGGAGAGCAGTGACTCGTCCCACCACAGTGCAGCTTTGAATGCGGAGCGACCTTGGCCCCGTCCCAAAGTCTTCATCTGTTACTCCAACAGAGACTGTCCCAAACACACCAGTGTCATCCAGAGCTTCGCCTACTTCCTGCAGGACTTCTGCAACTGTGAGGTGAGACAGTGATACACACACCACCAGATAATGGCTTGATTTTGAGGAAAACAGTACAAAAAATAAAAATGAAATGTTCCTTTTTGAAGGTTGTGTATGGTTGTCAAGTCCCTGTTCATTCCTGTTCAGGTTGTGTTGGACCTGTGGGAACACCTGGAGATGTGCAGAGAGGGTCAGATGTCATGGCTCAGCAGACAGCTGGATGAAGCTGACTTCATCATAACTGTCTGTTCCAAAGGCCTACGGTACTCTACTGTGTTTCTGAAAAACTACTGATGATATTTTCAAATGGTAAATGTTAGAGGCCAAGACTTGGGAGTAGGCAGAGGAATTTGGTTAGAGTGACTTTAGGGTCATGTTAAACAACATAAGACATGGTTAGGGTGAAGGTTAGGCTCAGATTAAGATGAGGGAAAACGCATTAGATCCCTAGACACTCCAGAGTCTTGGGATCTAATGCCAACTGTTTTCAAAGTGCCTTCAACTGGAGTTTCTTTTGGCCATTCTGTCTTTATTTTTTCTTTTACTCCTCCAAGTTTTCCATGTTTTTAAGTGTTTTTTTTCCTCAAAAGAAACAAATTGGGTTCAATATTTAGCTGAAAATGCTTCAAGCAGAAGCCCCATCATCCTCGATGTGCTCCTACCCAGTGCCTTATCAAACCCATGCCTTCAGCATGCTATAAGAGATAAGTACTACAAAGGAAAATATGCCATATCCACCTATGGCTGTAATGTTAAAACACAGTAAGTACAGTGTAATAGTGAAAATGTTCTTTTATGTAACAGCAACACCATGCGTTAATCATACTATGAGCCTCGGGATATAATTCAACAGCTCTGTCTTATGTACAGTTGGGTGACAAATAAAAAGACAAAGTAGCACAAAGTAACAATACAGACTTTTTAGAACGGCTTCAGTGCTCCTCTGTTGGAAGGAGGAAGTGTCATTCTTCCAAAACATATTCCCTCATTCAGCAGCCTAGAGCTACGTTATTCAGTTCACTGATAGAAAATTAACTGGCAAATATTTTGAAGCAAAATCACCAACACTTTCTGGTTCTGCCCTCGTTAATGTGATGTTGCTATTCTAATGAGCACTGTTGTGTTTTGGCAGCTACTACATGGAGAAGAAAAGCCGCCGAGGGAAGACACCCGTCAGCCACCGCAGTAGCAGCAGCTCTCCTATTGGTGGATCCGCCAGTGATCTGTTCATTGTTGGTGTTGCCATGATCGCTGAGAAGATGCGGCTGGCGAAGCAGATCGAGGGCAACGAGGCTCAGGAGCTGAACCACTATTCAACAGAAACCGACATCCCCACAATGCTGAGTCTGGCTCCCAGGTAAACACAAGGCTCTGCACAAACCAACAAACACCTTCAAAAACAACAGCAGCAGCTCTTATTCAAGACTCATTACATTGTTGTCTGGTTTTAGCACTGTATGTGTGTTTCATGTTGCACTCTCTGGAGCTTACAGAGGTGCCATTGTGTCAGGGCTCTCCTAAAAAAGAGGTTGCTAACATCTGTGCGATTTTCACCTGGTTAAATACAATTTAAAACTTTTTGACAGCAATCTGCTAATTGAGAAAACCACTGGATGGAAGTGAATGTTGAATTTCAGCCACATAAAAAAACTATTTAGCAAAATTACTTTATGTTGGAGATATTTTACACTCACTATAGGTAAGAGATGCACAAGTGTTTGAGAGACTGAAATTCTGAGTTCATGGAATTTTAGGCGGTGTTTTATGGGGATTATATAGGATTGTGTTTTGATTGCAGTTTTCATTTTGGAATCAATTCCAGGCACACAAGTCATCTAGATTTTCTTGGTGCTCACTTTTTTGGCCATGGAGGTCTACTGTAGCAGTAATTTCATTCCTGTTTTCAGGTTCAAGTTGTTGGACCAGCTGCCTCAGCTCTTCAGTCGACTCCACTCTGGTCAGTCCAGTCTGGCCAGCCGTGAGCAGCAGCCTCTCGATGTCTCCAGGAGGAACTACTTCAGAAGTAAGTCTGGACGCTCGCTTTACGTTTCCATCTGCAACATGCACCAACACATCACCCAGAACCCTGACTGGTTTGAGAAGCAGCTGGCTCCTGAAGGAGGCTACTCGGCCTCCTCTGGCTCCTCCCCAGAACATCCTTCTCTTTCCACTGTCACGTCTCCAAACCCTCCCGACGACGACGACTCATCTCAGCCCGAGGAGAGGTTTGACTCCAGCTTGGTGCTAAATGAGGTGTTGGTGAGGACGCCATCGCTGCAGGGTGGGGATGGAGCGCCAAGGAAGAATGTGCTCCTGTTGCCCCCCGGGTCTAGTCCCAGTCCCAGTCCTGGTCTCTGTCCAAGTCCATCCCTGCCACACTGCTCTCTCTCTGTGCTGGGACCATCCTCAAGGTAAAGTAATTTGTAATATTGCTGTAGTTAATTTTCCTGTGAATATTAAAGCAAAATGTCTTTTTTTTTTACCTCCTACTGTAAGTTGTGCTGTATATCATTTGTTAAATGTATCATGATGCAAAACTGTCCTCTGTACTAACCTTAAAGTGATTCCCTTCGCAGCAGGATCTAGCACAAGATAATTATTTGCTCTTATCATTTGCTGTTGATAGTGATTGAATTGTTTTTTCAATTTATCATGGATCCCCTGTCTGTAGACCATTAAAATATTGGTGCTTTTGTTTGATGCAGTCAGTTTCAGTGCATTTAATCCCATTAAAGCTCCATGGTCATCTTTGCCATCACATGTTGGTGTGAGTGAAAATATTTGTTACACAGCAGGCAATATGTGACCACCTGTTAGTCTGACTGCTGCTGCATATCTGCTCCTTCAGGTCCGTTTCTGGAATATCTGGACATCCACCTGAAGAATCTTCCTCTGGCTCCTCTTCTGCACCCTCCATCCTCCAGGATGAGAAGTTCCCTGTCCCGGCCCAGGCAGACGAAGACCATCCCTCTCTCCCAGAAGTCCTGCCTCCTCGGGATTCGGGCATTTATGATTTGTCTGTCCCTTCCTCAGAGCTTTCCATTCCCCTGATGGAGGGACTGTCACATGACCAGGCTGACTCCTCTTCCCTGGCCGACAGCGAATCATCATCTTCTGGGCTGGGTAAGGCTGGCAACCTTTTAGAACCTCATCTGAGAGTTTTGCAAAGTAAAATTTTATTGTTCTATTTAGTTATATTTTCACTTTATTTTGATCAATATCTGTTGACACATTCTCATTTCCACATGAGACTGTTGAACAATGCTAAAATAAAAGCAAGCACTTGGCCATGTGTCTCTCAGGTGATGAGGAGCCGCCTGCTGTCACATCGCTCCACTGCAGCACTGCCACAGTTTGCAGAGTTGAGCTGCACCACCATCACCGCCTGGAGCACGGTGATGGACTTGCTCCTGTGGCATCATTGTAGTGAACGCCTGCAGCCGGTCAAAAGAGGAGCAGCACAGTGATGTGCTCATGGGGGCCAAATATGTACTGGTCCTAGACCTGTCATGGAAAGTTCTAGAACACTGTCCCCAGTAACTATGGTAACCATCAATATAGAGAACACTGGTAAAAAATCGTTACCACTGAGGATAATAAGGATAAAGATAATCACCTTTATTTGGCCGAGTATGTTACACACAAGGAATTTGTTTTCGGTACAGAACCGAGGCAGCCATCTGGGGCGCCTGCTCACACCGATGGCAACTTGGGGGTTCAGTGTCTTGTCCAAGGACACGTCGACATGTGGACTGCAGGCACCGAGATTCAAACCTCCAACCCTCCGGTTGGGAGAAGACTGCTCTACCCACTGAACCACAGTTGCACCCAGTTCTAGAACACTAGTCCCTGGTGAAAATGGTATCCATTGCCTTCTAGAACACTGATAGTTGTGATAACTATGGCAACCACTGTTTTTGTCCAACCCCACGTCCTGCTAACTATGGTAATCCCTGCAGGAAAACACTAGCCCCAAGTAACAATGGCAGCCACTGAGTTCTAACTACAACTGTGTTTCCACTGTCGGAACCCAACAAACAAACAGTCCACCCTGTGAAACCGTGGACACCCCCCCCGTGACCCTGGAACATGATTTTACTATTGCCTCCTGAAGGGAGCCGAAATTTAGCTTCCAGAATACACCAGCAAAGTGAGCGGAGGGCAGCAGAAACAGAACCCAGGACACGTGTTACAGTGCATGTGTCGGTAGGTTCCTGTGGTGGAATAACCCTACATCTTAGCCACTGCATTCTAGAACACTACTCCCTGATAACTATGGGTAACCACTACATGTAGCGCACAAGATGTACTGTACTTTGTTCGCCCCACTGGTCGTCCTGCCTGGAGGATTTTTTTTAAGGACTAGATCTCCAGATGTTGGTGGAGCAGACCAGTTTAAACCAAAGAGTGGGTCTTGGTTCGTTGACAGAAAGCTGACTGAAGTTTGAGTAGGATGTTTGGTGCCAAAACAGGAAGCTGAGACATACTGTTTGCTCGTGCAGTTTTTGATGCTGAATGCCACAAACATGTCCAGATGTTCTCCAGCAACAACATCCAACAGGATCTATGCAGCTTCGGAGGTTCTGGTATCCACAGAGATTTTAACCAAATGTGCTGAATGTATCAACACCGTAAGGACATCGATTATATTTGAGGGTGATCGTTTGTCATTAGAGGGGAATTTCCCCCATAGCAGTTAGTAATAGAACATTAATTCAATATTCATTTTTAATGACTGCTGAGTTTTTAATCTGTCATATTTTTAAGAGAATACTGTTTTAAAAATGTTTTCAACATGCAAATGTCCCTGAATGTTTGAGGATGACTTGTCATTGAAGCAGCAGTAACACGATGACCACTGTCCGATCATGAATCATTCAAGTATAAACAATTTTAACAAACCATTTAAGAACAGTCTGAACTGTACTAAAACCTGCTAATGTGATAGGATGTGGTGAAAGAGTTGTGTGAATTGTGTTGAATTGAAATTCAGTTTTATGAATATTTTCTCTGCATTTTAATTCAGACATACAACTCACTTTCATTTGGCTCTGCTCCTACTCCATAATATATTGAATATGTTTACATTGTTTGGCATGTGGTGACATTTTAAAGTATTAAATATTGAATTAACAGTTAAAATTATGTATTTGTTCATGCTTTGTAATCCTTTTCTAACACTGTTGCAGGAAGCAGCAAAGATGAATAAAACCACCCGTTACTATCGTGACAAGAATTATATATGTGAGAAAGTAAATAAAAAATATTTGCTTCTTAAGTGAACATTTTGAAGTAGTAAGTCATAATTTTGATTTTTAAAATGACAGCAACAGTTATCTCATAATTTTGTCTTTGTCACCATTTTGACTTGCTTTGAGAATATTTTATTTAATAATTTTTTTCTTTTTCTGGTGGACATGGACTTCCATACACGTCTCACTTGATCCCATGAACATATTTTCTTATAAATCTGACTTTCACTTACTGATTGTTTCGTGATCAACAGCTGCAGCCACTTTGTTCTCTGGATCGGACCATGACTTCTGTGTGTTTTATAAAGCCTCATGTTTGAGGAGCCGCGGAAGGCGGCAACTTCTGATTTATCGGCAAGTTTGATTTTACTTAAGGGAAGAATATGCATTTCCTGCTTGTACTTTTCTTTTTTTCAGGAAATGTCTATTATGTTTCAGTTTTTTAAAGTAAAGTTTTGTTTCTTTTTTAGAAACGTACTGTTTTATAGTACCTTAATGTAGATAATAAATAAATCCATCTAATAAAATCACCTGTTTGCATTTTGTCATTCAATATCTGCTGCTATAAATTTACCTAAGCCAAATTACTAAGTTAAACAATGAAAAACTCATGAGTTAACAAATCCATAGTTTTTAATTTGTAGAAAGTTACAAAGGTGTAGCAAAAGGTATCAGGTAGCCAGTACAAGAAGAAATATTCCAGCACCAACTATTTGTAGTGCTTTATGACTGGTAATCATCTCTAAAGTTGACTAACAACTTTTGGTTTCTTACAATAAATCACACTTCACTGACATAAGTAGCAGACAGCTCTTCAGTGTGTGAGCTGCGAAGCGTTGATGCCTAAAACACCAGGAGCCTCCACACACACCCTGGCTTTGAAATAAAAGTGCAAGTAGGCTGCAAGTAATAATTTTCATTATCTTTTAATTTGCTAATCCTAGTATAAATCAAGATTTTACCAATTTTAGATTGTTTAATGTAGGTAAAGCCCACACAGGGCTGCTTGTGTCTGGTCATATAACATTTGAAAGTGGGTTTCGTAGAACTTCATTTCTCAGCAACGTACAGAAAAAAAGTATAATTTTGCTTAAATGTTCCAAAATGTAAGTATTGTACTGTGCAGTATAACATGAATTTTTATTAGCCGACTTAAAGCCTTAATTTAATTTGTCTATAATATCTTTAAAACTTTTTGAATTAGGCCTCTAAGCATAAATGAAAGGGTGAGTTATTCTTGACGGCTCAACAGGCCTTCTTTCATAAATTAAATGCATCTTAAAGTTTGATAACTAATCAACTGATAGTGGTGTATCCGTTGATTAGTGATTATAAACTGGGTGGTCATAACTTTGGCTCTTATTTTGAAGGGGGTGCCGGAAAAGGAATATCTCGCTGCCAATGAAAGGAGGGCTCTGTCGCTCAGCTGAATCTTTGGACTTCACGTTTGACCTTTCGTTAAATTATAGGAAGCAAAAATTGTTTATTACCTCTGGAGCAGAGGCAGCAACCGGAAACAGTTCCGTTCCGTCTTTGTTTGTTTTGAATCAGTGGCCCGTGGGTCTGTTTTGGGTCGCTGGGAGGAGCCGCAGCCCGATGCAGGCAGGTGATGGATGTCAGAGGGGTTCAAGGTGAGTAACCGAAGGAAAATGATTTCTGGAGGGTTTGGGAAAGAAAAAGCAAAATACGTAAAAACGGGCGTTTCTTTGTTAGTGTAAAAGAAAAGGAACGTGAAGAGACAGGGAGTTAACTGTTCCACCGCCGAGCTGTTTGTCTGTTACATAAATGTGTTATATACAACATGTAACTACACGAACATATTGGTAAAATATAAAGTTGGCTAGAGAAGTTAGTCCGGTCACTGTAAAGGATCTTTGGTAGAAGACCCTGAAACATACAGTCTGTGAGAGAGAGAAGAAAAACTGCAATGTTGCAGCCCAATGAGTCACAAGTTTGCCTGAGGGTGACTTATAGTCTGCAAACACACACACACCATGGCTGGATTCACAAACTAGGAAGCCCCAGGGGCAGAAAAATATTGTTGGGCCCCCTCTGATCCTCACTATACATGTCAATCATCATTTTTCCTGGCATTGACAAACCTACCACAAGGCTAAACAAAGACTCAAATGATTAGTTAATTGATTAGTTCATTAACAGACACTTTGTTAGCAGTCATTTTATTAATAACTAAAGCTTTAAGCAAATAAATAAATAAACGGATAAAAATCTTTGGCTCCAGCTTCTCAAATGTGAATAATTCAGTTTTATTAATATTAAATTAAATGTTCTTTAGCAGCTAATTGATCCACTTTCTTCACCATCTTCACTAGTCTATAACTTTTTCTGTGTGGTGTTTGATGCTGAGGAGGCAGCGAACACTGGGTTCATCTGAGCTTGTTTGCCTGAAGTGCTAAACTCTGAGACTGAAACATACAATAAATTAGCTGAAAAAAAACAAAACAAAACCAGGAGCTAAAGGAAACTACAACGCTCCACCGGAGACACTTTCTTATTACACACATTTTAATCCATTTTAAGTTAAAAAATATTGCTTGGTGTTGATTTGAATTTACAATAAACAGAATCACACCCACTAAAGCAGTGGTTCTTACTGTACATGTGAATACTACCACACAGTCCTACTAACAGGCGAGGAGCAGTGAGATGACTCGAAGGAGTCAGTGTTGATTTTTGCAGGAATGTGGTTCTGCTGTTTTCAACAGACAGTAAAGATGTTGTTCAGCAGATGTTTGTTCTGTCACTGATTATGTTTCTACTGGGGAATGCCATCCTGCTGGTCCTGTGAGGCAGCTGTGTGTGTGTGTGTGTGGGTGTGTGTGTGTGTGTGTGTGTGTGTGTGTGTGTGTGTGTGTGTGTGATTTACAGTTACATTTGTTCAAATCTCAGCATCAGTCCAGAGCATTAGGAACATCCTTGAGACAATAGTTAGGCATCTTGAGAAATATGCTTGTTCACTTGCCAGGAATGATGTCTCCTCATTATATGTGAGCTGGTGCCAGGAATGAAGTAGCTTAACCTAGTTAGCACAGAGACTGGAAACAGCTAGCTTTGACGTGTCCAAAGATTTACCATTGTGGACAGAGCCATGCTAGCAGTTTATCCTTCTTTCAAGTCTTTGTGCTAAGCTAAGCTAACTGGCTGCTGGCTGTAGCTTCCGATTTATCATACGGACGTGTGAGAGTTAGACTAAACACACCTCTGATCTTGTGTGTGTTCTTGTACTTGCTGTATAGTGAGGAACAAAAAAGTTTGTTTTGTTTGTTTTTTTTGCTACAGAGTCAGGACATCTTTGGAACGTGAGGACATTTTGAATGGTCCTCACTTTCTGAAACAGCTTTTTGAGGGTTAAGACTTGGTTTTAGGTTTAGGTTAGAATTAGGTTTAGGTTAGGGTTAGGCATTTAGTTCTGATGGTTAAAGTTAGGGTTAGGGGCATTATGTCAATAAATGTCCTTACAAAGATAGAAGTACATGTGTGTGCATGTCTGTGGGTGTGCATGCATACATCCAGGGTGGGATAAATTGTGCTACTGGAAAAAAGCACCGCAACTTTCAGGAATGAGTGAGTCACAATTGTAACACACATACACACTCACTCACACAAACACGCACAGTGTTTCTGTTTGGTTTGTTAACAAAATATCTGTCTTTGAGCATCTGTTGGCACCTAGAAGCACCAGACCTGTTCTGAACCTGTCATTCAATGTGCTTTTGTGTGTCTAATTGTTTGTTGTGTAGTGCATGATTGTAGTATTTAGTGGTGTCAAATTATCCTGCAGTGCAGCACAAAAAGAAGTGGAGAGGCAGTGACCAGATACCAACCAGAACATGGGCTGCATTGACCAGGACAGATTTGAAATAGTTTTTTTTCATAGCCGGGCCTTATTTTCCTGCCAGTGCAAGTTCAATAGCAGAAACACAAAAGTTGTGCATGTTTCCTCAGGCATTTGTGTCTGCCTGCCTCCACCCAAACCCACTTGCATCATGGAAACTTAGATCATCAGTGCAAGTTATGAACAACCTCTGAAACATGAATTTGCATACAACTGTATGCAAATGTTTTGGCACCTCTGGCCATATTTCATAATGGCCCTGCAGCAAACACACATACTGTAGACCTCAGCAAAATCACACAACGCAAATCTGAACTAAGATTCAGTGTCACTGAGGCGGAGTTTGTAACAGATTAACAGCCAAGTCGCGCCAATAATTTTAAATATTTCAGTGGACACAGTCCAGTGACTGCAGCTTTAGAAATGTCTGTTGTTCTGTTTGAGCAAGGAGAAGTTAGATTATATGATTTCTCTCTGTGTGCGTCATTCTCTGCAGAGAAGTCCAAAAATCCTTGAAATTAAAAAAGTTTCATGTGACATATGTGAGGTTCTGAAGCCCAGTGATCTCGAACTTGTTTTGTCTGACATAGTGTCACAGCTCTGTAACCGATTTCCACTTCACTGACACAGTTTAAATTAAACTCACTGTTATGTAACTGTGTTAGTAGGTATTCTTATCATATTTATTTCAAATGTTAAAGTGCTGTTTTTATTTCATCAGCTTAACTTAAGGTACAGAAAAGCATGAAACATTGTCAGTACTTCGTAACACACCTTTTTCTGTTCTTCCTGCAGCTCACTTAAAGTTTGGAGAGATGTTTAGGTGTCTTTTCAGTGTCCGACATAGTAATTAATGCGGAATTAATTTTTTTAACGTCATGTAAAAACAGTTTTTAATGTCTGTTTGCTGCAGGATCTGTACAGATTGCTTTTCAGTTCAAAATTCACCAAATGATGTCATTTGTCAAGGGGTTTCCAAACTGACACTGCATGCTGTATACAGGTATGTGCCAAAAAATTAGAATATCAAGGAAAAGTCCATTTATTTCAATAATTTGTTTCAAAAAGTGAAACTTGTATGTTATATTAGTTCACTACACACAAAGTGAAATATTTCAAGCCTTTATTTGTTTCAATTTTGATGATTATGGATTAAAGACAAAAAAAACCCAAATCCAGTATTTCACAAAATTAGAATATTTCATGTGACCAAT